TAAGGATTTAGGAATCTATTTTGACCCTAAACTCACTTTTAATTATCATGTGCATCATATTGTGTCGGAAGCTAACAAAAGTTTGGGTTTCGTAATTCGCAATGCTCGGGATTTCTGCAATGTTGATACAGTTAAGTTGCTGTATAGATAATTGTTTCGTTGGACCTCGATTGGAATATTGTTCCTTGATTTGGGCTCCAAGCTATGTTAGTTATATTGATTTGTTGGAAAGAACGCAGCGCAGATTCTTAAAGTTGTTAGACTAAAAGACTTGAATGTATATCCTCCGGTAGGGTATCCGCAGCACTTGCTCATTCAAAAATGTAATTATAAATCTTTATAATCTCGCCGTAATATGCAGTGTTATTATACTTTTCAACATAATAAATGGAAATTTGGATATACCCGAAATTTTACAAAAACTTAACTTTAATGTTCCTTCTCATACATGTCTCCTTCTCAAACATGGTCTAATGAAATTTTTTATTTGAAAACAGCAAGTACTAATATACTACAATATTCTCCTTTAGGTAGGTACATGTTATGTGTAGAAATTTTACAGCTGTTCCGGGCAGTATGGACATCTTTAACGCTAGTACATAAATCATTAGTTTTAGTTTCATATTTAAGAAAATGTTCAAAACAAAACATTTCCGAACATTCTTTCATATATACTTAATTAAAATCACAATGTTGCTGTAAGTACTCGTAGTATACCTATTCAAAACAATCAAAATATGTTTACGAAAAAAAATATTAATTAGACAAATAACAACAGCAAACTAAATTGATCTGAGACAAATTCAATCCAGTATCAATACCAATTATATATAGAATTGAAATAAATTATTTTAAAAATAAACGCTATTAGATACTATAGAAAATCCACATTTTTACTATTTATGTTGATATTGGCATCAATTGACTATATTTTTAAAATGTGAGGAACAATATTTTCCTTAAATGCAAAATTCATTAGGCACGCATTGATTAACAAACTGCTTATTGTATTTTGCACGAAAACATGTAAAAATAATAACAGGAAAACATGATGTTTAGTCCTTGAATAAAATAATATAAATTCATAGAACCACCGCGCCGTATTACTGTATAGCACATAAGATTATTTATTTTAGTGCTTCCCTGAAGTCAGTATTTTGAAAAGGTAACATGTATAATTAAATAATATTTATATAACTTTACATTTGTAATTTATATTATTTATCGAAAGAGATTAATATATTCTTAGTAATTGGTAACAAACGGATATAAAAATACTTAGTCGACTCGCTATCAATATTAACTGATTTTGTTAAATACTATTTACTATTTATTTAATAATAAAGTTTTTTCATTCTGTACAAGGTGGTCCAAATTTAACATAAAAACTTCGCCAGGTTGTTTTAACGAAATGAGTATTCAAAATTTGAAAGTGTTTAAAACATGTCGAAATATGATAAAAACCTTAGTAGGGTTTTTGTCAGTGGCGTCCCCTAAGGAAGATACGGCCNTGCAATAAAAACTGTTTCCTTCAAGGGACCGTATTTCTCTTAGGAGCCGCCACTGACAAAAACTCTATTAAGGTTTTCATTATTTGTTGACATATTTTAAACACCGGTTGTTTAAATTAGGATGTAGGTGTACCTCAAGGCTCAATAATAGGACCTGTTTTATTCATTTTATATATCAACAATATACAAGTGTCACAAAGCATATCGCCTATACAGCTTATGTTGATGACTGTTCAATTGTTTTATCGTCAAGGGATTCAGATGCATTGAGTAGTAGAACCACAGAGGCAGTGGGCAGAGTCTCACAGTATCGATTTGTTTTTTAACATGGACAAAACTGATATTTTAAGAATACATAATTATAAAAAGAACTATCGAAGATACACAATATTAAAGTAAATAATAAAATTGTGACTAATGCACATGATGGTGTACGTTTTCTAGGTGTTTATTTGGATACTGTTAGATACGCGATTTGTTTATTTATTTATTCGACTAATTCAGTTAGTGTTTTTTTTGCTCAAAAAAGAATCATCCGTTTCATCTTAAAAATCTCAGACAATATTTTAAGGAATTAAACATTTTACCCTTTCCCTGTTTGTTTATATACGAATTATGTGTTTATGTATATAGAAATAAGAAAAGCATTTACATTAACAAAGATAAGTACAATAATTATAACAGGAGACATGCTGGTAATCTTAGAGTACCGTTTGCCAAACTAAAACTAGCCCTAAATGCTCCTTGCTACTTGGATCCAAAATGTTTTAATCGTTTACCAAAGGATGTTAAATACTGTTATTTTTAAACGAAAGTTAAAGCTATATTTGCTCGATAAATGTTTTTACAGTTTTTAGATTTTTAATTTGAAGTTATATGTTATAACACTTTCCAAAGAGTGTTTTTCTAAGCACTTAAATCCGTTTTTCTCGGAAATGGAGCATTTTATCGAAAGAAATAAAGAGGACCTTTTTTGTACAGGAAATGAGGATCTATCATCTGATGGCATCTGAATTTGAAAATTTCGACAAACAAAAAAATTGGGGCAAATTTTGGCCAACGACCCTAACTAAAATTTTTGAAAAATTTTATGAAGATCTATTTCGACCTTTAATGAGCGTTCATAATTTTCCTTCAACTCATTTCGGAAATATTAAAAAAAAAATAATTTTTTGAAGCCCCATTTATGGGGGCATAGCTCCCTTAGGAAGCATTTGTCGACCCATATTTATATGAAAAAATATTCTTATATTTGGCAATAGAATCAAGTGGTAAATTATTGGACACTAATTATGAGACACCCTGTTTAACCCTGTATCTCCGAAATGAAACCTTGAATTCTTTTTTTGTACAATTTTGAACTTTGGCTCATAATTTTTCATTTTCTTAAATGCGAAAGGAACAAAGATAAAAGTTGTATAATGTTATGTGAGTAAAATTTTTTTCTGAGTACATTAAATTTATGAAGTCACAAACAAATTTCACAACTTTTTCATCATATATTTTTAAATTTTCTAAATGCGAAATGAACAAGAATAAGAGGTATGTAATGCTATTTCAGTCATCTTATACCTGTGTATCGAAAATTAGTGTATATGTAAAGTCCTTCATGTAAATTTAACATTTTGGTTACACTAGCGGTTACACTCTGTATGTAGACAAGAGCCTAAAATAGAACTTCACATTTCGTTCTGAGACCAAAACTCTTGTTGGGTCCATGTTTGTATTAATGTCACGTCAACTTTAGATGTATCTAATATCAGCATAAAGGCACGTTGCAGGCGTAGAGCTTTGTTTCTTTTGTATACAAGGTGTACGTCGATTTAATTGCCAAGATGAAGAAAATAAGATTACTATTCTAAACAAAGTTACCGATCACGTGGCTTGTAACCATTTAAGAAGGCTCTGTAGTTTCTAAACTTATAACCGTAAATAAAAACTTAAGCGAGATAAAGAAGTTTTTTGAAAGAATTGATTCAATTCTATAAAAGACGACACTGCACAGTAGCAAGATTCAAATTTTCAGTAATAATAAAGAAATACAAAAATATGCATCATTGCCAATTTGTGTATTTTTATGTTTATTTTGATGATAAATTAGTACTTAAAGTTTGTTGCATCCGAATACTCTATATTTTGCAATATTTTTCCAGATTTGAGGTACGTAGTGAAAAAAATGTGCCATAAAAATAAAATGTATTAAACCGCCTTCAAACAATGCGATTACTAGCCAAACATTTGTCAAAGAAATTTGTGTTAAATATTTACAGATTATTTTGTCAAAATTATTAGTGCCATGTTGTATCATCTCAAATATTCATAAACTTTTTACACACGATGTGTGTACTTTCCAACTGTTCGCATGTAAACCGTCATTGCCATTTACTTGCAATTTACAAATGTACAGAGCAATACAGTTTGACCAAACTCATCAAGAAGAGAGTCCGTAGTAGGAGTGACAAAGACAGAAGAACTTAATAGTACATTCAGACAAAGAATAAGCTCTGGTGCTAGTTTGGTAACTTTGTCACTGCGCAACTAAAGCACGTGGTCAAGCTGTACAATACGGAACTTGCTTGAAGTATTGTTACTGGTGTTCGTACGTTCGTGCGGCTTTATTTCATTTTGTTTTTATCGGCCGTTCCCTAAGCGTACCATCATATTCCTTTGTTGAATAGTCCAAACAGTGTACCGTTTATATAGCTTTGGCAAATGACAGTCACATGATACAATATTTGTTTGCGTTTGACAGATATACAGGGTGCTTCTGAAATAAATGCGTTACTTGAAAAGGGCGATACAAGGCACGAAAATAAGCAGCTTTTATTAAGTAACTGATGATCTAAAATATTGCGTTTTAATTTGAAAAAAAAAAATGTTCACATGAAGGTTTAAACAAATTTAAAGCCGTCCCTGCCCTGGTGCGGTAGCCAGCTGTACCTTTGATATCGAAGCTGACGCGCGCTCGAAACCACTAGCAAAATTCCACACGGAGCTCAAAGTTATTATTATTTAATGCCTGAACCCTTTGTACGAGATAGGAGTGTAATAATTGTTCCCGTAGTACACGCCACACGGTACTGTTAGATACACTCACTTCTCGGTCAATATCGCGAGTACTGCGCCTCGAATCTTCTTCAATGAGGCTTATGATGAACATTCTGGCGTTGCACGTGCACAAGATGCACAGAGTCGCCTTACATTTATGGTTATCAATCACCCTGTTCAATGAACGTACTTATTTCAGAAACATCCTGTATATACTGCGGCGAATCTATACCGATATTCCCATCCGTGACAGTTGATTCAGCCACAGGATACTGCATTTGTTTACTTTTGGCAAATATTTGACAAGTGTCGGCATTATTTGGAGAAGAAAGATTTTTTAATTTTCACTTTTTTCGTATTTCAAAATGTAACGAAGAAAATTGAAAGAATAATTTCCGCTTGTCCGCCCTGTACAGAATTATGTTTATTAATTTGTTCCAGGAACACAGCATAAAGTCCACAAAGAGATTTAAGAAGAATGTCATTGTTAAAATTTTCAACTCAGCATTAGACGACGTTTACAAATGGTCAGAGAAATATTATTAAAATCCAACCGACATATTGACCTTCGACACTAGCAGCAGATAAACTATCAAGAAAAACCGCTTACTAACAATAAAATTTCCAAATATATACCTACTGCGCCTTGACTGGTAATAGTAGTTAAATGCTGTGAAGTGATTGATATACTGTAATTTTATGTGGACAACATGTTACCACCAATTAATTCTTGTTCAATTCTCTACACTCTTTTTACATGGTTCTTGGGAATGTGCTATGGTTTTGTTCTCCTTTCTTCCGCAGCGGGACAAAATGGCGACACAAAATTGTTCGAAGTCGGTGAAACGCTAAAGTATCATTTGCATTCAACAGTTCTGTTAAACGAGAATGACAGCAGTTCCAAAAATGTTGGGTTTTACATTACTGGTGATGTCGTTGTTCGAACTGTTTGGGGAAATAATGTTGAAAAATTGTTGAAAGTCGAGGTAAGTTATAAAGTATTTAATTTACTTGTTTAAAATGACCTAAAGAAATATATTTGTTTACTTTAATCTTTAATCATCTAGATATAAGAAAGTAGGTAGCACATTAGGAAATTATAACAAAATATTTCGTTAATATAGGTGTCTAAAGGTACTTAAGTAATACTTATTCATTTAAATGATATAAAAATTACAGTCAGATATTGATACATTGTTGAGTAAAATTGAGTGAAATTTGAGTGAATTTTTTACAGTGTAGTTAAAGATATCATATGATGAATGTGTGACCCAGCCAAGAATATGGGCTAGCTGACAACGAGTGGTCTGACGCTAGAATATGGCTTCCTTGCATTTTCCCTCGCTTCGTTTTCATTAATTATTTTGGGACAAAAAAAATACTAAATGAACTCATTGAATAGCCATTAGACATAATTAGAAAGATGATTAAATTCAGGCGTGTTGTGTAATTTTGTGAATAAAATCAACATATTTGAAAAAACTAATGCTGACTTTTCCGATTCATAACATCATTATCACCACGGAAAAGATATTTCCACCTACACAAATAGCTTCGAGTTTTGCCAAATTTTCGTATATAAAAATGCAACATTTACATTATTTCTAAAACTGTGGAAGCATGATCTACAATTTGAAAACGTTGTCACATTTTCAAACGATGTTCTACAGTTTCTTTCTATGATTATTTTGAAGAGAACACCAAGCGCAGAAAGAGTAAAAGGTTTTTAATTAAAAAAAACACGTTTATAGTAATGTCAAAAATCGAAAAATTGTCCAGTACAGAAACAAAAATAATCTTAAGTAGATACATATTTCCTATTTTCATGTAATTGTTCAAATAAACCGCAACAACGATAAAATTGCATTTTGCACAAATTATTTATACTTTATCCAAATTCTACCATATCTCTACCTTTAATAGTTTTCGAATTAGCAATGTTACCGTATCCAGTTTGAAATATCCGGCAGGTGTGATAATCAATTGCGTCCTAACTAAATAAATTAAAAAGAACTTGCAACTTTTAAATCATGTCAAAGTTCCACATTTCTTATAACCTTTTTTTGTTATCTTTTCAGTTTAATTCCCCACAGCTACACATAAAATCGAGAAAAGCACCATCCCCAGATGGCTTCATTCCACATTCTTCAAAACTGGACGGTTTCCAAAACAAACCATTTTTAGTAGCGTGGAATAAGGGAAGAATAGAGAAAATTCTGCTACCTAAAGGAGAAACGCTGTCTTTGGCTAACTTAAAAAAGGGTATTGCCAGTTTATTCCAGGTAAATCTACTTATTTTGGAAAAAAAAAAACAATTTTTACTCACGATAAATCATGATCCTTAATGATGTATCAACTTTCCGGTTAGTTTAATTATTGACGTAAAAGTAACGTTTTTTTAATTGCTTTTTATAAAACGAGTTTTTATATGCGATGATGTATTGATATTATATTCAACAACAGTCATAATGGCATGTTATTAATGTTGGATCCATATTGTAAAAGCATTCGCCCACATAACATGTAGACCGGAAATTATATTAAAAATAAGTACTCATAATTATACAAACTCTAACAGCATATCCGTAACAGAAGTCCATGTTAATGTCACAAAATAATAATTCTTTTAATACCGACTTATGTCTGTCATAAAACCAAGATTTATTGTTCCATAACTCCATTATTGAGGGGTAACGCCACTCTGGAATATTAACAAAATTGATTTTTGGATAAATGGTGTAAACAGTGCTTTATTATGTGAAAAAAAAAACAATGTCTTATTATGTGAAAAAGGTAAAGCGAAATCACTTGCAGAGAGCTGCAGAAGTGCTTATTGTAACTCTATAACGCTATTAAAGAGGCCACATTAAGTCTCTAATAAAGCCGAAAAGAAGAGGACGAAGAAAAAGTCAATATAGAAGGCCAATTTTATGGTGCAGGCATCGCTGATTGAAAGTATACATATAACGAATTTATTATGCTGAATGGCAACAAACTTTTCGAGAAACCACTTTATATTTACTGGCCGGAAGCACAACTCAAAAAGTTTTCACACAATCGACTTGAAATTTTTACAGAATTTTACAGCAACGTATCTAGAGCTCGGGATTCGGATGGATGATCATAGCCGTCGCGTTTGCTTTTCCTTACGCGCACCGTACGAAACCGGTAATAACGATAGTTATTGACTTCGCATTTTCTTCGTGTATACGTGTTTTAATATTTTAATAATGTCGAACCCGCCAAGGGGTAAAGAACGACCTTTCGCTGATAAAGCAATAAAGCAACATTTATTTTTATTTATACCTACCTGTTTATTTATTTATTTACGATGAACACGCCTATGATTAGCCGACGAAAACCCTGAGCTCTAAACATAACTCGGGGAACATCGTAGGGGTTTATTCGACTGATTAACAACTTCTACTGTTATTAACAATTTAATGCAAAAATTTTCGTCTTTTTTAGATACTTTTCTTTTGAATAACCAATTATTAATATATTTTAATTTCCCAAGGATGTTCTCAAGTTTTTAGTATATAATATCAGAAAATGTTTGTGTTTTTGTTCCAAGATCATCCGTTAAAAAATTCCTCTCCGGAAAAAAGGTGTCGTTGCTTACCATCACCGCCATTTTGAATCCAAATCGTTTGAAAAAATTCACAATACAGTCAAAACTCCCTATTCGCGAAGGATACGTTCCGAAAATTTACCGCGAATACGGAATTCGCGGATACAGAGTGGCATTTTGTATAGAAATATAGAAGATACGTTCCAATGTTGCAAAATAATAAAAAAGTGTAATAATAAAAGTAATTTATTAAGATAAATTTTAACAATATTATTATTATCAGGTTTAGGCAATGGTTTAAAGAACTTAGTGATTTTTGTCTTGTTTTGCAGCTAATAAAAAGCCTTTTAATTCGGATTGATATTCAGCTGTGGTATTATTAATTTCCTTCTTAAAAACAAGACTTCGTTCCATAGACGGATCAGTGTTTATGAAGAAATCACAAAGCTCAATTGCCATCCGTAAACCTTTACAAAGGCCATAGTGGCACGTGTAAGCGAGCGGCGCCAATTGCGACTTTTGTCAAAGAACTTTCAGCTTCACGACACTAAGATTTGTTTGTTTATAAATATTTTGATTCCTACTTGTTTATTTTAACAAATAAACACACATTATTCTAAAAATTCTAAGTGTATCGTTAGTTTTGGATCCGCGAATACGGGAACCGGGGATAAAGAGCTTTGACTATACTACCTGAAAACATGTACGATAATCATTGACACTATATCTTGTATCGATTTTTCCCTGAAAATTCACGATTATCACCTTTTTTCCAACCTCTAAGCGGGCGTTGTACCTTAATATTAGAAAGTAACAAATAAAAGTTGTACCTACCAATTATTGTGACGATGTATCTACCTAAAATTTGTCGGGTTAACAAGTGAGCATGATTAACGTTTATATTTTTAGTTTTATAGATAATGAATTTTCGGATTCTCTTCGTTTTCGAATTATTCAACTGTTTTTAAAAAATATTCAGATAGAATTATCTTCCGAACGAAGAAAAATACAAAGTTGCGACTTCAATGATTCATTTCGCCTAGAATACTATCTTTTTCTCTAGAAAAAGGTATTTTCTCTTCGTGATCAGTTTTTTCAAGAGGAACCATTAATATTATTTGCCACTATTAGGAACCAGGTGGTTTTTCTATTGGTGTAGTGTGATTGCTACTTACCTCCAACCTCCAATAGTTTTAGAGAAATGCACATTTTTCAAAATTTTCGGCAAATAAACGTTAAAAGTATTTAGAGGAATAACTGCGACATACAAGTAAGTATATCATCGAAATGCAGAAAAAATTCTCTATCTTGCTGGATCATAACCTAAACTTCATATAGGGCAGATTTTACTTTAATTACAATTCATTTAAATGACACAGTCACAAAGATAATCGAAATTCTCAAGAAAATGAACATCGGTTTGTAACTAGAAAACAATTGAAGCTGCCTTTCTGGAATGACACATGTTCTCTAGACTAAAATATAAATCTCTCAATTATAGATAAATGATACAGAATATCATTTAAACTAATTAATTAAAATAGAATGAAAATACAATGAAAACCTTAGCATGTTTAAATTAACGAAATCAGTAGAAAACATCGCTACTTATTTAAAGGATAAACCATATACTTGGTTAATCTTGCACACATTTTTTTTAGTGACGTGTTTGTCCTTCAATGTTTAAATTTAAAAATGAGCTACGCTACCAAATACGTTTTCATACTCTTAAAAACCGGGTAAAGCTTACATTAATGATTAATCCATAAATGTGAGGACTAATTAAATTAAATAAACAATACATACTTATCTAAGACAAATGAGATACATTTTCATCCATAAAATTGAGTTCTAATTTAAAATAATTAGGTATAAGGAAAAACATATATTTTCGGAGAAAAGTTTTACTGCGTTTTTCATTTATAAGACATTTTTTTCTAAATCAAAATTTTGCTTTAGTTCTCATTCTCACGTCCAGGTGCGTTTTGAGATGGAATCTTTAAACCATTTCGAAAGCATTGACCACTTCTTGAGAATAAGATTATGTACAGGTATAATATAATGTAAGTAAAATGTAATGTAAAGTACCTATAATGTAATAATGTATAATCTAATGTGCATAATGTAACGTAAGTAAAAATGTAATGTAAGTAAACTGAAGATTATGTATAAGGTAATTTAGCTTATGTATGTATTAGGTACAAAGATTATGAAGATATATCGAGAGATTTATATAATTTACACAAAATCATGTTATTTACTTACCTACTGTATTTGTAACACTATATTTACGTAGTTAAAACACTAAGCTATATTATTAAGCCACAAATGAATCTAAACATGCCTACTGAACAACTAGCACACACGCTCTGTAATAACGCACCGGATGATCACATGATTAATCTGATTGGTCGAGCCAAATCAGGTCGTGTAAATTCACACTTTTATTCGTATATTTACATCAATATAGTAAAAACAGGATTAGGAATGATACATTTTCAAATGGAAAAGTACAACGTAAAAGGTAAGAATACATCGCAAAAAGAAAATATACACTCAAACGTGTAATTCTACACAATGTATCATCTATGTTCAATTAATTTACATTTTTCGTGAATAATTCCATTTGAATTTCCACAGTTGCTGTGGAATTGAATTAAAATGAATGAATGAATTTAATAATAGAAGTTACAAGTAACATTATTAATGTTAATGCATACGGGATGGACATCCGATCATGGCGCGTTATTATCATGATAACACTAATTTCTTTCGTTGAAAATATCTTTCCAAATTGTTTCAGTTCCAACTTCTGGATGGGCAATTTACAGAAACGGACTCGTCTGGTCATTGTACAACTGCTTACTCGTCTTTATCTCCAACAAAAATTTTGAAAACCAAGACTGACTGCTTATCCCAAGATTTTCCGTATATTAGAAATCCTGATGAAATATTAGGAACGAAAGTTCACTCATCACGGCAAACAGAGTTCGAATTTGATATCACCAATTCTTATTTGAAGTCTGCCAGAACCAAAGAAACACATGAGATATTTTTAGCAGCTAAAGAAGAAATAGGGAGTTACGTGGAAGCTTCCCAAATTTTAAATTTTGTTAAAAGTGAACCCAGTCAAACTGTAACAGGTGAAGATATTGATACTGTTATAGAAAAAATAAGCCAATCCGATGGTGTAATATTTACCCAGGAGTCCTTACTTACTGAAAGAGAATCGGTAGCTCTTGAGGCAGTTATAAGTTTTTCCAAACAAATAGATAATTTGAGAGATTACTTAAAGTCCCAAAATTTAGGTATTTTAAAACCTGCTAAGGCTTTTCTGTTGTTGGTTAACACCGGCAGGAGTTCTACTAGACAGGACATATTAAAGGCGTTGGAGTCAAATAAAAACAAAAAGATTTTGTAAGTATGGATTACTTTTCACTAAACTACATAAAGTCTACGTTTCAAATGAAGTAAAGAGTGGTTATTAGTATGGTAAACGGCTCTTTTATTATTGAAATTACAAATATGTTCTCATAAAAGTGATTTGTTGCCCCACTTTTTTATTTTTTTTAGGAAGTCTATTCTTTTTGTTAAAATAATTGCATTGTCATGGAAAATACAGATTTTGATGTATGAGTGTCTCGTTGTGGCAATAGTATCTTTAATCTTGTTTAATTTTGTTTTCCATTACTTTTGTTTAAAATTTCCTCTTTAAATAAAATTCATAGTGGTGAAATAGGACTCCGAGTGACCAAGGTAAGTGCATATCTTCCTATAGATAGATATCATATATCAAAAGTATGTGATATAATTAATTACAGTTCCTTAAAAAATTATTAGCAATAACGTTGCCGTTTTGTAAGTAGTTACGTTCTCACAATAAATAAATAGGAAGATATACCTAAACCTAAATCTTGATCACATCGGAGTCTCGGTTTGACTATTATTTTATTTACATCAATATAAAAAAAGTTAATATCATCCATTTAGTATAAAAAGGTCTCCACTGAAATCTATTTTCGTACCACTTACCTAAATGGTACGAAAAGCTTTTAACATCAAATGGATTCAATTTTCAAAATCAAACCTGATTTTTAACTATTTTAATTAATTTTAGTATGTATTTTTTTATTCTAAATTCAAATATTCCTTATAGGCCACAAATATATGATATTCTCGGCTACGTACAAACCAAAGAATCTCATGAAGCTGCTACGAAGAAACTTCATTTCGATGATGAAGATCAGCTAGACCTAAGTGAGCGATACCTCTGGGCGCTATCTTTCTCTTCTCAACCAAATCCAGACATTATAAAGGACCTGATAAAGAAATATACAAAGCTTATTACTGTCCCTGAAAAAGTAAAAGAGACCCTAATTCTGACCATAGCCTCCATGGCACAAAGGTTAGCAAAATTGCACAAAAATGCTCATCTAAAAGTAAGTAGCTATTATTATTATATGAAGTCTTTAATGTGTATCATTCCTTCAAATTCTAACTCGGGGATATCTTTGCATCGAAATTTTATCAAACTGAGCTGAGCAGTTAATTATTTCACAATTTGCTAAAATTGATTTGCTATTATACAGGGTGGTCCCGAGGTAATAGGCCAAAATTCATAGGTAGATTCTCGAAGCAAAAATATTGCGATTTAGCCGAACTTACCTTAGTCCAAAAGTTGATGGTTAAAGAGATACAGGGTGTTAAATGTAAAATATAATTTTACTTTAATTCCATTTATTTCTTAATAAATGCAAATATCGACACAAAATTTTGGGGTTTGGGGTTCTTTGGGTGGAGGAATTGAAATTTGTTCACATTTTGTTTATAGTCATAGAGGGCGCTAGCTGCAGTAGATTCAATGTGTTAAAAACGACATAACTTTTTTATATTTTAAGGTATGTCATCTTTGTTATCAAATTCTTATTTTCTTTACACAAAGAAGGTATACTTTGTGAAAGTAGCTGTCTCGCAACGTTTTCTAGATATTTGGCTTTAAAACTTACAATGCTAATAGTTGAAATATTTAAAATAATTTAAAAATGTTAAAAACAAGGGTTTATTTAGAATTAAAAATTGTAATGAACAGTAAAATAGTGAATATTAATAAAAAATATGTCATTTTAACAACAATTATTAATCAAACTGTCCAGTTCTAATTTCAATACATTTATCAACGCGTTTATTAAAAGATTGTCTTATCTTAAAGTATAAATCCTTAACGCGAAATGACTTCGCAGCATTTAAAACCTGCTGTCAAAGTTCTTCTCAGGTGTTTATAGTTTCTCCATAAACAAATGATTTCATGTAACCCCAAAATGAAAATCTCGGCATTCTATCTCACATTTATGTATACAATACAATTTAAATTGTAAGATACGACGTAATTTTAATTAGGTACAAATAATATTTAATGGAAAGTAGTATACAAATGAAAGCAATAAGACAAGTGGAAAACGTCAATTATTTGATTTTCGTCCAAATCCTGCTTAAGAAACTTTACCGCTAAATTAATAATACCTGTGGGTCACGTTTTAAGTCACGTGACTTTTGAAATTGGCGAACAGCCCGTAAAATTTTTATTTTTCGACCTAGAAGGGTGCGGTTTGGTTTGCTGGAATCCTCGAACGATATGCTAGATAGATGCCTGAGTTACTTTTTCGATATTTTCAACGGTTAAAAGGATATGGAGGGACTTTGTTAGGTCACGTTTTAAGTCACGTGATTTTTGAAATTGGCGAACAGCCCGTAACTTTTTTATTTCTCGACCTAGAAGGGTGCGGTTTGGTTTGCTGGAATCCTCGAACGAAATGTTAGAGGGACGCCAGAGTTACTTTTTCGATATTTTCAACGGTTAAAAAGATATGGAGGGGCTTTTTTAGGTCACGTTTTAAGTCACTAGACTTTTGAAATTGATGAACAGCCCGTAAAATTTTTATTTCTCGACCTAGAAGGGTGCGATTTAGTTAGTTTTTCGATATTTTCAACGGTTAAAAAGATATGGAGGGGCTTTGTTAGGTCACGTTTTAAGTCACTAGACTTTTGAAATTGGTGAACAGCCCGTAAAATTTTTATTTTTCGACCTAGAAGGGTGCGGTTTGGTTTGCTGGAATCCTCGAACGAAATGCTAGATAGACACCAAAGTTACTTTTTCGATATTTTCAACGGTTAAAAGGATATGGAGGGGCTTTGTTAGGTCACGTTTTAAGTCACGTGACTTTTGAAATTGGCGAACAGCCCGTAACTTTTTTATTTCTCGACCTAGAAGGGTGCGGTTTGGTTTGCTGGAATCCTCGAACGAAATGCTAGAGGGACGGCAAAGTTACTTTTTCGATATTTTCAACGGTTAAAAAGATATGGAGGGGTTCTTTTAGGTCACGTTTTAAGTCACTAGACTTTTGAAATTGGTGAACAGCCCGTAAAATTTTTATTTTTCAACATAGAAGGGTGCGATTTGGTTTGATGGAATCCTCGAATGAAGTGCCAGAGTTAGTTTTTCGATATTTTCAACGGTTAAAAAGATATGGAGGGGCTTTGTTAGGTCACGTTTTAAGTCACGTAACTTAATTGTAATTTAATGGTGCCAGATAGCTACTTCCACAAAGTATACCCTTTTTGTGTAAAAAAAGTTGAAAAATAAGAATTTGATACCAAAGATGACATACCTTAAAGTATAAAAAAGTTATGTCGTTTTTAACACATTCAATCTACTGCAGCTAGCGCCCTCTAGGAACTTTAAGCAAAATGTGAACAAATTTCAGTTTCTCTACCCAATGTATCCCAAACGCCAAAATTTTATGTAGATATGTGCATTTGTTAAGGAATAAATGAAAAAAACCTGAATTAATATTTTACATTTAACACCCTGTATCTCTTTAACTATCAACTTTTGAACTAAGGTAAGTTCAGCTGAATCGCAATATTTTTGCTTGGGGAATCTACCCATGAATTTTGGCCCTCGGGACCACCCTGTATACTTTAATACATAACTGTAGCTTAATTTACAGGTTTCCGAAACAATTGTCAATAGTTGAAAAATTTACACGTCCTCAGTTTAAACTTAAAGTTCCTAGAGACTTCTCACTTTCTTCTCCAGAACAAACTCTGAAATTAGAGAGTAAGTCCTCTAGTCGGTATTTATGCATTTGATTGGTTGTTATTTATAAAACATTTAATAATTTCTAGGTAGTTCTAAACTACCAAATTTTAGGCCCGGATGTATACAACATCCCAGTTACTGAAACATAACAAACATAAATTACCTACCGACGAGAGAACTGAATTTACAGTTTCAGAATGGAGAGCTTGAAATGTCAACAAATCTAAACCGAAGAGTGGCAACGCCCGGAAATTGTTCAACTATATCATCGTTATAATCACATTTAAGCCTACGGTTATCTAGACAAAGACAGAACAAGGTGCAACTTCATTCATTTATGCATTTGTTTAAAAAATCTAGGAAGAAATATGATGCGAAATGCTAAAAAACAATCATTTTTATGTATGTAGTGCGTAGTGAAATTTTAACTACTTTTTATCACTCAAGAGGGATAAGTCCTATCTTTTCGTTTGTTTTTTAAGTCGGTAAATAGTCGTTTGCCTACTCTATTTATTTGCGTGCGGTAATCACACTTGCCGTACGCGAATTGACAATAAAACACGCAAAATTTAAATATACACTCGAAATTAGTATATTGTGCTATAAGTCCGGTAAGTTGTCTATTGCCCACGAGAGCACGAAGTGAGTGCGCTCATCCACTCAACCACTAAAATAGAGTATATATTCTAGAGTAGAATAAATAGAGTATCTATCTTTCCGCCTGTTTTTTAGATCGGTAAATAGCTGTTTGCCTACTCTATTTAATCGAATGCGGTAATTATAGTTGTCGCAAATAAATAGAGTGGGCAAACAGCTAGTTACCGTCCGAAAAAAACATGCGAAAACATAGGACTTATCCGTCATGAGTAATAAAATAGTATATTGTGCAATAAGTGCTGTAAGTTGTCTATTGCCTACGAGAGCAGGCAATAGACAACGACACGAATTGCACATACTATTTTTTATTACGAATGCACTGAAATCCTATTGTTCAGGGGCGAAGCTCCAATGGGGTCCTCAGATTTTTATTCAGTTTAGGTTGACATAAATAACTGTCATTTAAATGTCACTTTTTAAAAATAATATTTTCGAGTGTGTATTTAAATTTTTATTACTCATGACGGATAAGTCCTACCTTTTCGCATGTTTTTTAGGTCGGTAACTGGCTATTTGCCCACTCTATTTATTTGCGTGCGGTAATATTACTTGTCGCACGCGAATTGCCAATAAAACAAGCAAAATTTAAATACTTACACACTCGAAAATATTAGTTTTAAAAAGTGACATTTAAATGACAGTTATTTATGTCAACTTAAACTGAATAAAAATATGTGAACCCCGCCGGGACTTCGCCCCTGCATTCTAAGATTTCATTGCATTCGTAATAAAAAATGGTATGTGCAATTCGTTGTCTATTGCCCACTTGAGCGGATGAGAGCACTTCCTTCGTGCTCAACTCCGCTCTCGTGGGCAATAGACAACTTACCGCACTTATTGTACAATATACTATTTGCGTATTTTACTGTCAATTCGCGTGCGACAAGTATGATTACCGCATGCGATTAAATAGAGTAGGCAAACAGGTATTTATCGACCTAAAAAACAAGCGGAAAGATAGATACTCTATTTACTCTACTCTAGAATAGATACTCTATTTTAGCGGTTAAGTGCATGAGCGCAGTTTACTTCGTTCGTGCTCTCGTGGGCAATAGACAACTTACCGCACTTATTGCACAATATACTATTTTAAAAATTATTTTAAATGACAGTTGATAGTTGTTTATGTCAACCTAAACTGAACAAAAATCAGTGAACCCTACCGGGACTTCGCTCCTGGACCCTAAGATTTCACCGCATTCGTAGTAAAAAATAGTAGATATGTGCAATTCGTGCGGTTGTTTATTGCCCATTTGAGCGGATGAGCGCACGGACGAAGTGACAACTTACACAGGTAATTTTTTTACCATTTAAATATCAATTTGCAGTGTGTTTGTATTACTTTAATTATAGAGAATATTTTGACCTAACAGACAATTACAAATAAATATATAAAAGCAGAATTAAATATAAAAACTCATGTTTGAAGACAGATTATGAAGAAAATGGGAGATCTTTCAAGGAAATACTATTGGTCTTCTGAGTTATATGACAAATAATGTCTCTTTTTCTAGGTATTTTGCCACTTTGCACATGAATGAATAAAAAATAAATAAACCTGTTTAAAATGAGGTATGTTCAGAATATTTCAAGATTCCAGTCACAAAAGATTCTGTTGATTTTCTGGCTAAAATTGAAATAAGTTCGTGCCGATATATTCGTTGTTATGCAAAGATTTAATTTTCTAAATGGAGTTTTATTTTATTTTTACCATACAAATTCTTTTTTGGTAGATGGATTGGAATTTAAATTATTACAGTTTTACTTAAACTGCTTAGTGCAAATGACCAGAATACATTATTCCCATGTCGCTGATGCTGAACACGAATCCGATGTCGAATTTGGCCCAAAAGGTCACAAATCCTTCTTAACCTTATAGCTTAAAAATCCACAAAATTAATAAACTAGTTTCTATGATCCAGATATGATTTAACTACGACTGAAAATCGTGATCTGACCATGTAGGTATTCCCGTGTATTTTGACCTACTGAATCCGAATTCGATGTCAGAATTACCCCATCAAATCACCAGAATTTTCTAATCTGAAAAAATAGCTTAAAGTCGCTAATCACGAATTTTAGAATTGTAAATTTGCAAATAATGCAAACATATATTATTTCCATGAATGCACTCTATCCATAGAGATCACAACGCCTGGTGTGAAAATTTCTTGGCGCCCAATTATAATGAATTATATGCTTGTTGAATAATCCTTTCTGCGTTTAAAACTGAATGCCTTAGGTTTAAAGACTTTCTGTTCGTTTATAACTGGGCGCCAAGAAATTTTCAAAATACACTAGAATAATGTATTCTGGTCTTTTGCACAAGACTTTTTTTTATAAAGCTGTGTGATCTGTGTATTGCATTGATCCTCAAGAAAAGCATTGAATATACCGTATTTGAATAATATATTCAAATATGATGAGAATTATGAAACATAAATGAGAATGATTTAAAAAATAATATGAAATCATACATTTTGTATTTTATTAGTATTAAAATACAAACGATTTTCAAAAAAATAATTTGTTAAATAGCCTCATAAGATATTACACTAGTTTCTAAATTCGTATAATTCGTATAATTTGCGCTCGAAGTAATTAAAAAATTAAGTATTATCATTATAGATGGTAAAATTCATGTTTAAGGAAATAGAATATTTCATTTATATAAATCATTATAATATACACAATTTGAAAAGAACCTTCCAAGCAGACGGACGGTTTAAATATTATCTTATTTTGATATTTATTTAGACTGCTCAACCATTTGCTAAAATCGGTACGATATCTGTATAGACTACTATACCAGTATTATTGTCTATCTCAACAATTTTTACCTCAAAAATGTTTCCTTACAGTTTCCTGTACTATTCGGATATCCTACAATATTAAATACAAAAGAATATTCGTAGGCGTTAATGTTTCATATTTATTTTTCATAATTTCAGTTGGTGCAAGAAGTGGAACAGCTCATTATAAACAATCTGGAGTATACCACGGACACAGCACGATATGTATTTTTCCGAGCGTTAAAAAACCTCCAATCTGAATCCACAATACCTTTACTATTAAGATATATTCAGAATGGAACGCTGAAAGAAGGTGTACTATCATTTAAGGCCTTGAAATCTTTTGATCCCAAATTGTGGAACAGCGATATACTAAGAGTCGCGGAAAGATCATTCTTCCAGTTGGATAGAAAATATGACTCAAGCTCCCGAACACTAGCAGCTGATATTTTAATAGAATCAAACCCAAGCGATGATCTTTTAGAGAACCTGATGTATTTTCTCTCATCCAATGACCCCGCTTTTGAAGTTAGACAATATGTTTTCCAGAGAATAAAAATGATAGCGGATGAAAATCCCCATTTTAAAAACCGCGTTCACAAAATTATTAAGAGAAATAATAAAATCAACAATTATTCTGGACTTTCTCCAAGAGGTTTATCTACGGCTTTAAAAAGACACTTTTTGAAAAGCGCTTCAAGTAATGGCAGCTTAGTTTCAATTCAAGAGATAAAGAGTGGTATAGCGAAAAGAGGTACTGTCAGTGTTATGCTAGACAAAGATGGAGTTAACAATGAATTGTTTAGTGTAAGTATAATGATGGTAGTTGTTGTTTTATTAAGTATGTTTTTAATATTAGCTTTTATATTTTTATTTTTATTTAAAAGATATTAAGAGAACTGAAATCAAGATTAAAAATTTTGGTATGCCCAGAAATTTCTAAGATAAGCTATTAATTAATAACTAATGATATTGCAGGAAACAACTACACTGCGAACTAAAGCTCCATCCATCGTTGAATTACACCCACAATATTTGCAAACTTCTCCCACTCATATTTATTATTTGTTAATATACAGGGTATTAATGAATTTATGTCAAATATTTTTGCCACATATCCATTATGTCAAAATTAGGTAAATACACAGTTGAGTAAAATTTTATTTTAAAATCTGACTTACCTCAACATTGGAGCCAACTTTTGAAAAATGCTGATTTTCATAGAAGATATTCGACGTACCCACCATTTGCTTGCACACAAGCTTCAGCGCAACGTATCCAATTCGCTCGCACGCGTTGTAACATTGCCGTCCTCTCTATTCGTATTACAAGCTTTGGCAATACGACGTTGCAGTTGGTCGATGTCACACCACACCAACCACACAAAGAAGTCTAAAGGGGAACGGGGGGGGACATCTAAAGGCCGATCTAAAAGTAATGTTTAGGAAGTCGCGCACTCTCCGAAAAAAGTGAGCAGGGGCTCCGTCATGAACCACATATTTTATATGAAGCACCCTATAAGCGTCTAGTCTAGGCAATTCAAAATGTCCTATTAAAGTGTCATTAACGATGCAGGCCCACATGTTCACTGAAAACTGTTGTTGAAAGGCACCGCGACGTATTTCGTGTGGATGTTTGAGTCCAGTGGTGAGTGTTTTGAACGTTACTTACATCATTTCAACTGAAACATGCTTCATCCGTAACAAGTATTTGCGCTATAAATTGAGGATTTCTTGCATGTTCCTGAAACAACCATTCGCAAAAACCTCGTTCTGGTGGAAAAGCCTCAGGAGTAGGCGCTTGAACCGGTTTTGAATATAAAATGGGTACAACTGAGATTCTCGCAATGTCCGCTACACAACAGGATGCGAAATATTTACTTGCTGTGCAATATTTCTGGTGATACGATGCGGATCTTCTTCGACGAGATCTAAAATCATCTCCTCGGCATTTAAGATTCTTAGTGGTCGCCCTGGGCCACCGTCGCGACCTCGACACAGTTGTACTTCACCGGTGTCCAAAACTGTTTGCGCTACAGCAACAAATGTTCGCGGTGCGGGGGCTCGTAATTCAGGATATCTTGCACGATACACTTGACAAGCTTTGTGGGCATTTTCGTTTGCTTTGCCATAAATTATGAGAATATCATAATAATCGCGATTGCTAAATAAATGCGTCATTTTTCAAAAAAAAAAAACGGGAATACGGCTGTTAAATTTACTCTCGAAAAACAGCACATCAACACTACAACAATGTATTACAAACTGACTTTCGAATACAGTCCAGCTTTATAAATAGGCGGAAATACATATACCAGTAAAATAGGTAAGTAACTTGCATGCTAAGAAATGGCATATGCCGGCGGATGGCACACTGCTGATACATTTGCAAGTAAAATATACGTTAGTATATGGCTTATTGGCATGTCAGTAGGTAGCAAGTGGTAATACACGTGCCAGTTTTTCAGTGATCAGAGAGTTTTCAAGACGGAAAATAATAGGTTAACTATGGAAAATGTGCGTAATGAATTAAACAATATTATCCTATTACTTGCACCTCAATTGGTAGTTAAAAATATTAAGCAACAGAGGATCCGAAGAGAGAAACGAGATATTTGGGTAAAAGACTGGATTAGCAGAAGAGAAGAATATGGAGCAAGCAGTTGTTTGCTTACAGAAATGCGGCTAGAAGATATAAATGGCTACAGAAACCATTTGAGAATGTTTCCTGAAAAATTTGATGGACTGTTATTGAAAACTGGAAACAAAATTCAGAAAAAAGATACCCATACAGTCATCCAAAGTAGAAAACAAAATCGCTTCTAGTGGTGATAGCTACTGGTGCCAGTGTCAGTAACTAGTAGACACGTTCCGACATGCCGCTTGAACTCCCCCGAAACCCCCCGCCTCACATTGCATGCCAAAAAATCAAATAATGTGCAATTTACTTGCGCGCCTTCTACAGACGTGCCTTTTAATAAATACACATACCAGGAGCTATCTCCTGCAAGCTACTTGCATGCTATTGTGCAAGCAAGAGGCATGTGTATTTCCGCCTTATGAAACCTACAAACTCGTAAAAAGTGTTACAAAATTTTTTGTAAGTACTCGACGCGATAAAATACATGTATTTCAGCAGTTCCAAAACAGTTTTAAACGCATTTTTAATTAGCTTTTTTCTCTATGACCTTAAACTTCCGATACAAGTTTGTGACATCAGTTAAATCAGTTTTTGCTCCTTTTTCGCCCCTTTAAATTTTTGACATAAGTTCATGACATAGTATTATTAGTGTCCGGAATGTTATGATAATAATTGTAATAAAGTTATTGCGACACTTTTTCGACAATTCAGTATTAAAGCTGTTACATAACCTATAACTTACTTTTTCAAATAATATCTTGCTATAACAGTTAATCGATTTTTTTTTAATTTGGTTCATTTATTAGTGGTAACAAACAGTACCTATGACCCAGCATAAAAGTCCTAAGGAACTTGAATGACTTGAGTCTAGACAGATTACAACTTTTCTATTTGCAGTTTTTTTTTTAATCGAACCGTTTAAATACTGAACTTAATAAAGGTTATTAAATAATTTTACAAAAAGGATCTCGAAGTAGACAATATGCCGACAAGAAGCACATTTAATGTTTTGCTGCAATTTTTCAAAACAATTAAAATTTACCTATTTTGTAATACAACAGCTGGCCGCCATATTCACTTTACATTTACAGGTTACAACGAAGTAAACTATTATCAAAGCGTAATAAACACGTGGCTGCAGAACAATTAGTCGAAACGGATCGAACGACTATCCACGATCTGCTTCGACCAATAATAGCATCCACGAGCTTATACACACGTGTGACTTGACCATTATTTACTTCGTTGGAATATGTAAAGTGAACTTAATTGGTGATTACATGACGGTCGGTTAAACCCTAATTTATATAAAATCCTTGTAATCCTTATTTATTGTATAAATAGGGATGACCCTCTCTTCTGTACATCAACCCTGTATGGATACAAAATTATTTATTCGTAGGATTGAATTTAAGAAATTGAAGTTGGTTGCTAAAAGATGAAATGCTACACTAAATGTAATTTCGTCTTCAAATAGAGAAGCGAAAGGGTCCTTAAAAATATGTATTTTATTTCGTAAACATGCACAAAATTTTACATTTTTCAAAAATTTTACTAACTAATATTTCTTTACGGGAAGTTTTTATTCATTAGCTTACATAGCTTTGCTCCAATTGATATACCAGCTAATAGGTGGATTTCTAAGACGAATTAATGAAAAGGTGTAGCAACTGGTTTTTTTAAACTGTTACAGGACGTATTTCAGAAAAAAATTAAAATCGTAATATTTTAGGAACGATGTTTGAAAACCTTTAAATACTTTATTATGCGTACAACAATATGCATTTCCACTTATTTTATCAGATACAATTAAAATTATCAAAAACTTGTACTTCATCATTAGTAAAACAACACTGCATGTTTTATAAATATTACGCTGTTCATGTTTAATAATATGTTTCCTCTAAATCTACAACAGCTTTGTTAGATTAGATAAAATTTCAAATTACTATGTACTATAATATTTTTTTCTTTATGTTTAGTTAGGAATATTTTCCGGAGGACTTAACAGTTTCTTATCAAGTGATGGTGAAACAGACGAAGAAGAGGAAATAATAACAGCAGGCATGGATTTAACCATTTTAGGGACTCAAATTAGACCTTTCGTTTTCTTTGAAGGACAAGGAGAACTTATGGGGCACGTGTGGTCGGGAACGGCGTCTGAGAAGACTACAGCTTTTCAGGTATTAATAGCAATTCTCGAGCACGATTACCTATTTAAATTTGGTTCATACACCAGATTTTGAAAACTGTAGTGAAGTGTGCTAAATTATTGGTTTTATAAAATGTATCTTTCTTCATATCTTGTATACTGCTGCAAGACTGATTGCTGTCTAAAAAATCAAAATGATAGTCATACAAATTTTTAAATTTCACTTTAAGCACCAAAATTTTTGTGTTGATAAATGAAACTCAACAATTTAATTAAAGGAGGAATGGAATAAAACATAAACACATACTTACAATTTTATAATGTAATAATTTCTCATGGAAAAAATTGACGGTACCCAATCCCATTACAAATATAAAAACAGGATGCCAGTTTTCAGCTGCAGATATTTTATTGAGAGTTTTGAAATTATGCATGTAAAACTGAATAACTAAATTCTATTATTATAAAAAAAAAATTAACCGCAGATTATTAAGCCATTATTAGTAATGATCAGGTCTTATCAAAAATTGATATAAGCAAAAATTGAATCTGGGTGTATAACATCCTGTAAAAGTTAAAGGAACACAAACATCACATAAAGCACAATGGAGAAAAATCAACAGTTGCGGAGTACCAGATCGACATATGTAAGGGCGTTCCATAAACCTAAGTAATATCAAAGTTTTAGTAAAAAAATCACCGGAAATTTGAATACGACTCATACATAAAAACTGAAAGATCCGAACGTCACATCACAGTCACCTCAAACTTTGCACCAGAACTATCTTGAAAATATCGCTTCAGATAACATGAAATCTAAACTAATTTTATACGGTTAGAGATATTGTGATGTAGAAAATAGGGAATTCCAAACTATAATAAACTTTTTAGTTACAATAATAAACTTTTCAGATACAAATATGGACATGTTTCTTTTAGGAGAATGAAATGTTTAAGCTCAAAAAACGTGACCATTTCATTTTTTTCAAAAGTTTGACTGTTTGAAACAAAGAAAAGGTTCACTAGATCGAGATGAACCTTCACATGCACAGGGTTCTTTTGGGAATATCGAACTGTAAAAGTCATGCTTAACATTAGTCATTTCGTGAATATTTCTAATTTAGCCGCCAATTTTCGAAAAAACCATAAATTACCCTTTTTCCTGTTTTTAAAATTCGTGTAAAAGATGAAAAAAAAAATTCCGAAAAGTTTCCAAGTCCGTGGAAGATACTGAAGATACCCCTAAATCCTAAATCTACGATCTTTGTCACTCCTACTCCGGACTTTGTTCTTGATCTGCGCGTTTAATGGACGAAACGAGTTTGGTGAAGTTGTACGGAATTCCTAGAACTGCCTGTTCTAGGGAATTCCTGCTTACCAGTTATTTCCAAGTCTACCCATCTGCTGAAGATGTAACAGTCGGCCCATAAATTGTTCAGACATCAAACCTTTTTTTATGAAAGTTACATAGTGTTTTTATATTTTGAAATTCAGCACATTCTGCCACATTAAAAACAAAATTCTTATGTCGAAAGGATCAGGCGCGGATTATAGATTTACTTTTGCCTAACCTAACTAAATTATCTTACAGAGAAAGTTGATATAGCTTCTCGACTACACGATACTCAGTGCAACACATGTAAACTGTCAAAATATCGTTTGGAATAAGTTGTTGAATGTTATTGAATGAAATTGTAGTTGAATTTTTTTATTTCAAAACATTCTACGTATATAAAAGTACCTAGATGATTAATACTTCAGTTAAAACAACACTGTAAATTCTAAAATATTCGTAATAAAAAATGCCTTTAATTAAAAAATCCAATGAGGTTCGTAGGAAATATAATTATCTTTCTTCGTCCTTACTAATATTAATATAAATATTCACTTATTTGGTTTTCCATAAAAACGCGAGGAAAATCAAAATTTTAAGAGATTACTTCAGACCGGAAAGAGATATATCGAATTTCTCCTTCGTGTTCATCATTAAATTTCGCAACTTTGCCCTAATTTTTCGGATTTTGTATCTCTTGCAATAAATGGAATTCATGGTGCGACTTAAAAATCAAGCATCAGGTTTAATAATATTGTAAAATACTTATTTCATGTTTTAGGCCCTAGCTCTTTTGTATGACCATTTAGAATACATTCGACTGGGCTCGGGATTTTTAGCAGAATTGAACCTGAAGGGAGCTATCTCTTTTGATCTATCAGGAAAAATTGAAATATCTTTGTGGAACAGAAATGCTGAATCGTTAGTGGAGAAATCGTATGTATAGCTTTAAATTTTTAGTTTGTGGCATTTACAGGGTGTCTCTGAATAACGTGTACAACGGAAGGAAACAGATTCATGGACTCAAAATAGGCAAATTTAGGCTAATTCACCTATAATAGAAATCGCTTAGTTTGGCCGCTAGATGCCCTTTAAGTTCGTGGAAATTTTTTGAATTTTGTAAATAACGTCGAATATGTATTAATCGATTTTGGGGTATAGATTTTTGCTTTCAATCTACAAATGTTGATGTTATGTTGAGGTTATTAAATTTAGTACAACTTATTATAAAAACTGTTCAAAATGATCACCAATTCTACATCAAAGGTTAATTCGGCAAAGAAAGTTAAAGGACACTCTTTGCAGTTCTTAAGGGCTATTTTTTAAAACATTTATGGTATTTTGGAAATGCCTCCACAACTCAGTTCAGTGTTAGTTGCACTGTTTTTTTTTTCAGAGTCCTCAAAGATAATCGCAAGGTGTTAAGTCTGGTGAACGTGCAGGCCAGTTAACAGGAGCATTTTCCCCTCTACCGATCCATCGACGGGGAATCTTTGATTCAGATACTGCCGGATATTTACAATGAAATGTGGTGGAGCACCTTTATGCATAGATCACGTGTTAACTTTGAGTAATAACGGCACATCTTCCAATAATTCGGGCTTTACAAAAATTCAAAATAAAATTCCCCATTCAGTCTATTGGGTAGAATAACAGGGCCAATAATAATTCTATCACAAACAAGATCAAACTGAAATTACAGTCAATCTACAAAATCAGAGCTTCCTAACACATTGTTAAGTATTTTAATATGGGTGACAAGATAATGTAGACATTTAAAAAAATATGTATGCGATAAAATATATGCGATAAATGTTAATGAAAATGATAAAAAAATAGCCCTTAAGAACTGCAAAAGGTGTCCTTTAACTTTCTTCACCGAATTAACCTTTGTTGTAGAAACAACGGTGGTAATTTTGAACAGTTTTTATAATATAAGTATAATATATAATATAATATACAGGGTGACATAGAAAAAAGTACAGTGCATGGTGTCATACAATAGAGGACACTAAAACAAGAAAAAAAGTTCCTATGAACATGGGTCCGCAAGGCCTTCGGTTAAAGGATATGGGGTGTTGAATTTTAATTTTTTTTTATTTGCAAAAACAATGATAAATACTTCAACAATTAAATTTTAATGGTATGATGAAAAATATGATTAATTAAAACAAAACATTAAGTTTTTGGAAGATGTTCAAATTGTTGCCCTTGTACTTCAATACATTTTTCTTCTTCTTAATGATTGACGGCATCTTTGAAATATTCCTAGGTTATTATGAAATCTATCTGCCGATTCCATAATTCTATCCATAATTGTTCTTCATTATGTATTTCTACAGCATAAACTTCATTTTTCATAAAGATATTCAAAAAAAAACCCCAAACAAAAGTAAAATTCAACACCCCGTATCTTTTAACCGAAGGCCTTGCAGACCCATGTTCATAGGAACTTTTTTTCTTATTTTAGTGTCCTCTATTGTGTGGCACTATGCAATGTACTTTTTTCTATGTCACCCTGTATAAGTATAATTTATAATATACAGGGTGGTCCGAATTTTATGCAGGAAACTTCGAAGGCAGATAGATCTCTTTAAAATAATATGTGTTTGCCTTATAAACATAGGTCTGGAACGGCACCGTTTTGGAGATACAGGGTGTTGAAGTTGTCAAAAAAAAATTGTTTTTTTTGTTTATATCTCCGGAATCTATTAACTGATCTCAATAAAATTTAGTACATATAATGTATGATAGTAGTCCTTATATTCCTGAAATATGAGCTTTAAAGGTTCAACCAGTGGTGTACATCTGGACAGGGGTCCTTTTCTACAAAAAAACCTACGCCACTGCATTTTTTACATGTCATTGTAACTGATTTATATTTTAATGTACAAAATACGTAAAAAAGGTAACTTTAATTTTTTCCCTAAGATTCGCCGTTCTCAAGTTATACCAATACAGTCCTCTTGTGGCAGACACTTCTAACGATAACATTACAAGAATATTTGTTTATGTTTAAAAGTAAGTGCAATTTGTAAGCACATCAACAAAATTATTTACACTCCTTTCTACACCACCTATGAGGTAGTGTGCGATATAAACAAAAAACCATTTTTTTTAAAAACCTCAACACCCTGTATCTCTAAAACGGGGCGGTTCCAGACCTATGTTTATAAGGCAAACACATATTATTTTAAAGAGATCTATCTATCCTCGAAGTATCCTGCATAAAATTCGGACCACCCTGTATAATATAAGTTGTACTAAATTTAATAACCTCAACTTTGTTACTTTTATCTCCAGCATTTTTTATTGTATTTGATTGTTTTTATGAATTATTTCAATAAAATTAGGCACGTTGTAAATAACTGTAATTCGTCGTATTCATATCGAAAAATTAAGTAATTAAGTGGTATATCTTATCGTAGTAAACACACATTAAGAATTGGCAGGTACAGTGATTTAAAGATCAAACTGAAATTACAGGCAACTTACAAAATCAGGGCCTACTATCACTTTGTTAAGTATTGTAATATGGGTGTCAAGATAATGTATACATTTAAAAAATATTTCTTTGTACCCAAACCGCTCATTTAATCAAAATTCTATAAGAGGCCCAAAAACTTCCAAATGGTATCACCTATTAAATAAAAAATATTTGTCTTGTCATCATCGCCCGAAAGAGGAAAATGTTATGAACGGATATTATCACCATACGTCAATTTTGTAGGAGTTGTAAGTTTTAAACACTGTATAATACCAAAATGTGTAGATTTAAAGCAATAGTCCACACCCCAAAAATAATTAAAATCGAATAATACGTATCTGAGTTATTTACAAAATTCAAAAAATTATTACGAACTTTGCAACCATTTAGCGGCAAAACGAAGTGATTTTGAATAGAGATAAATTAGCCTAATTCCGCCTATTTTGAGTCCATGAATATGTGGTATTCCGTTGTACACGTTATTCTGGGACACCCTCTATAATTATTATTTTTTATAAATATCTGTATCACGATCAACTGATAATAAGAATAAAATATCTATTTTCAACTAATTTGTTAAGAGCAAAGTTGTGTTTATAATATTAATAATAACTTCAAATTAAAGGATATTTGAAAGTAATTCGCTTCTCCATTAGTATCAAAAATGATCATATTAAAAAATTTAGATTTTTTGGGGACTTGGTACTTTATAAATAAAATTTGTTCATGTGCCTTTCGCCCTTTATCAAGAGCTTTATAAATATATATTTTTTCACATTTTTTATTGTTTATGAGTTATGAAAACAAGTAAAGCAAAACAAATTTCATGAAATTTATATGAAAAGTTTTTTTTTAATAGAGAGAATTACTTTTTTATACTTATCCTAATAACTAAAAACAATTTACAAATAAGATTAATAATTATTAATTATTGGCGGAAATTAATGTAGGTATATGGAATTTTAATTTTTTTCATTTTCATTTTGTAAATAGAACCTATTTTTCTTAAAATACGACCATTGACTGTAAGCTTTAATTATTATCAACACAATAAATGAGAAAATGTGTATGAAAATATTAAGTTTTTTCTAAATAAAAAGAAAATGAATATTTCTATAACATTCATATAAGGCATAACTTTATTTTTAGGGCAGGAATAGTGGTAATGGGTTCAATAAAAATCGACACATCTTTTGTGAAGTCGCAGATAGAATTTAATACTTCCATAGAACCAAAATTAAATTTTCAAACAAACATCGACTTCTCCTCCAATGTCCATCTTTGCATTAGACTTACTCAGCCAGATTCGTTATTTAAGTAAGTTTTATTAATCAGTAATGGGTGAAAATATTTCTTTTAATTACCTTGACATAATTTTTAGGCACAATGTATTTAAGATCGAACGTATTCCTGGAAGTAAACATAAATTGAGGATATCAAAATACAAGAATTCCATGGTTTCTGGAAGGACGTATTCCATAAATAAAAAGAACAATGAGATGTGCAATGCTATATTCTCTCAAATTTTTTAATTGGTGCTGTGTAATGAAAAGACTTATGTAAATACCAAAACTGTTTATATTTATTATTTAATTAAATGATTTTTAAGTGAGAATGTGGGAAATTTAATTATGAAAAATTATGTGCTTAAATTACAGAATAGCAGAAATCAAATGAAATTCTCGTTTATACTTTTTTATAATACGACATTAACGTGAAGAATATTTATAACCATCTAGGCCAATCAACAGAGCATTAAATTAATGATTTTGTGACAAAAAAAAACAAAGGAACTGTGCCATCATAAAAAAGACAGTCTGTAGATACATACTTATATGTTTATATTATATTAAGTATATAAAATATATTTATGTTATATACTTCAATTTATTGTTAACAAGTATACATTTTTGTTCTAATAATGCCATGCCTGTAATATTTTTTCCAAAAAGAGCGCTACCTTGATGGGCAAAAAAGTTTAGCGTACATTTATACCACACATGTGGCTTATGTGGCGCCCTCTAAAAAATACATTAAAGTCCTTTACTAATAAATCTATGATTAAAGTAGATACCAAATTATGATTTCTCATACCAAATAATCCCATTGAAAATGTTTTTTGTATAAATGTCCAAAAACGTTCAAGTTATTGCGAAAAATAAATTTTGAAATTTCACTTTTAACACCCTGTATCTTTCTTATTATCAATATTTTATTAAGGCAAGTTGGCTCAAATCGTAATATTTGAAAGTCACAAATCTTTCATAGGTACTTCTATGCACAATTACTTAAGGACCACCTTGTATAGGTATACAATTTTGAATATTGTTAGTTATGGTATAGTTTAATATTACTGTAAGTGGTGATATATACAAAATGTAATAAAATTTCCTTAACAAGGACACTTAAACATGTATTCTTTGTAACAGAAAAGTACAGGCTGGTCCATTTTCGATGGGAGTTCAGGGTATTTCAGAAACTACTAAAGATATGATAAATCTGACACGACGTTCTCGAGCTCGATTTTCATTACAAACTCGACTGTCAAATCAGAAATTTGCTATACTCATTTGTTTCTGAGTTACAGGGCGTTTCTTGTTATTGTCACATTTTTAAACATGTCTGTATCTCAGCTGTTAAATAAGTTAGAGTTAAAGTGAAAACTGCTCAAGACTAATTCTTTGGCGTAGAATTGAATGCCGATATTAGATGTTTAGTAAAGCTTAAGATTTCGGAGTTATGACCCAAAATTATATTTTTTTAAATGGTAATCGTAGCTGATCATGGCCTAAAAAAATTGAGATTTTTTTTTGCTTTTTAGCAATATAAAAATGTTATAATTATAACTAACAATATTCAAAATATATATATACATTGCCCCTCATCTGCCGATCTTCCTCCACTACTCGACTGCGCACGTGCGCTCGGCCGTTTTTGAGCAAATTTGGAGGAATTTTTTACCTATTTCGCATCATTTTATGGAAAAATCAGAATATACGTTTTGTAGTATTATATTTCTAGTTTTAAAATCCGGCTGAAAAATTAAAATCGGACCACCTCCAAGACATCCAGAAACTTTGCAAAATAGTGCACCAAAAAATTAAAATTGCAATTGTGCCAAAACTAAAGGTTAACTGTGGTTAAAGTACATATAATTCACTTCTTTTGTGCACAAGATTAGCTCTACAACTTGAAAATGGCGGAGTAATGATTTTTTTTCAAACGCTAAATTGTCCGATTCTTCGTTTCTAATTCGGATCGGATCGATCGACTTCTCATTTTATTCGTATTTCAATTATCTACAAATTGTCTCTTTATAGCATTCAGATTGCTTCATTAGTTTAGGTTTTACAAGCAAAAAACTAAAAAAATGCTTTTTTGCATAAAAATGTTTATAAAAAATTAATTAATGGTAAATTGGAGTACAAAACTTATAAGCATATATCTACACACTGCCTTTTATATGATGGCACAGTCCGTTTGCTACTAGTATTTTTGTCACAATCAAAACCTCTATTGATTGGCCTAATCATAGTTCTACTATCTGTAAATAATTAGAGTGCAGTTAGATTCAATTAATTTTATTAAAATCCGTACCTAATATTTTAAGTAATATGAGAAATAAGTGATATCTGTGGTGTAAATAAGTAAACTCGATACTAACAGATCAATAAACTGAAATATAATGCAATCATTTGGTCTGCCCATCTTGTTCGTGATGAATATTTTCTTAAATCTATTCAAGATTAACCAAATGGGCACCCTCCAACTTATGAGGACAGATTGAATGTACTTTACCTGACACCTTTAAGAGAAGAATCCAAAATCTTATTCTGATTTATTCTATTACACGTAATATATAGTTCATTGACTTGTCTTGTTTTTCTCTATTGAGCAGAAACGAAAAGCTTGGAGATCATTTCTTAAATTAAGAAGCAAACATTTTAGAACAACAATTAGCCAGAACTTTTTTTCTAATCGAATAGTTTATCAATGAAACCATCTCTCTGCTGTTGCTGCACCATTCATCAATTCTACTACTACTCGTACTAGAAGACAATGAAAAATGTATATCTTATAATATATTGCCCTGATTGAATTTTTTTAAGTACTTTTATGTATTGCCATTGATGTAACAAGTTACAAGAACAGGTAAGGAATTGATTTTAAGGCACTGCTGAACACCGGCAGATCACCTTCATTTTAATCGTCATAGTCATTGCTAGATTCTAAATCATTTTCATTCCAAATCAGATTCAATGTTTGTGAAAGTTACCTTGCGGTGAAAGCATTTTCTGCTGGCCATGAACGCCATTAGAATAGAAGCCTTAAATCAATAATAAGATCTGAGAGGTTACTCATCATTATTATTTAGTTCATATCTTACTTTAGTCATAGCTTCATAACAGTTTAGGTAAAACATTGACTCTTTTCGTGGCACGCCTTCTGACATCAGAAGACGTCGACTGCTATGTCTCCTAGATCCAATATCAACAATTACATAGATCTTGGTATTGACATATTATAGCATTTTCAATTAATCTTTCTTCAGTGATATTTTAAATATTAATAATGTTATCAAGATACATACAATTTAAAAAATCTGTCAATGTCAGTATAAATTACAATAAATATTAGTTTCTTCAGAAATCAATGACTACTAATTTAACAAATTAAATCCCCTTGCCTGAAGTTCTTACCTTTTAGTGTGGTTCTATTAAAAGGCAAATAAAAATGATGTAAGTTATTTACATACTTCTTTATCTGACAGCTTTCTGAGAAATGTCTATTTTTCAGGTAATAAAAAATTGTCATACCAAACAAAGTAGTGGTGAATGTCGGTCAAAATTGCTGAGAATATTTTCATGAAAATCAAAAACCAAATTCGAAGTCTTGGTAAGTAATAAAGAAAACTTAATTACGCATTGCTTATTGTCTTAAGAGAAACGGTATTTTTTATTTGTTTCAATTACAGCATCAATTGAAAAATAGTGCAGGTAGACCATATAAAGTTTTCGGGAAGCAAGGTATTAAGTTATTTGAAGATGGTTCTTCTTTATTATCTTTAAATAGGCTAAATATAAAAACGTTAAAACTTATACACGAGTAAATATAAACTATATCTTAAGAGAAATATGCAAACCATTTTATTTTTAATGGCAACGGCGTAGATGTCGGTAGTTTGAGGAGTAGATATAATTGAAGGAAAATATAATAAAATATATCTTGAACATCTTAACAGCTTTGGACAGCGCAAATAATAATACAAAAAAGGCGGTAGTTGATATACAGTCCCACAAAAAAAGAAAAACAGCCTTTTCCAAAAATTACTCGTGTACCCTTATGAATTTTGACGCGTAAATCCTAATCCGAGACAAGAATTGCTTCATCACCTCCATTTTCTTAAATCGCGAAAAAATTACCTTAAATACGGAAAATATGAAAAATTATATTTTTCAAAACAAGAGGAAGATCAACTTCACCTTTTATTCCTGTTTCTTACATCTATGGGGTATTAGAGACAGAAAGAATTACTATGAACAGAAAGTATAGCCAAAAAGAACAAATTTCCATCCAGGATTGAAACACATCATCCGCAAACCCTTAGCTGATCCTTCCAATATTCTGCTTTCACCTCTCCATATTAAACTTGGTCTCATGAAATAGTTCGTTAAAGCTTTGGACAAAGATGGCGAATGTTTTGAATATTTAGGAGAGGAGTTTCCAGAAATAAGTGATGTTAAACTGAAAGAAGATATTTTCGATGGTCAAATCCGTACCGTGTTCAGAAATGAAAAATTTATCAGAAAAATGAATGACGCTGAAAGAGTAGCACAATCACTTAGAATTTCTTGGAAATCATAAAAATGAGGATTACCAGAATTTAGTTGAGGAATTATTGGAAAGCTGTTGAAAACAGTTGTCTGATGAACTTGAAATTGCATTTACTAGAAACTCATCTTGGCTACTTTCCAGTGACCTTGAAGACTACAGGCAAGAACAGGGTGAACGTTTTCACCATGATTTCGATGCAATGGAACGTCGGTATCAAGGTAGGTGAAATATTAATAAGGCAGATTTCTGTTGGTCGCTTAATAGAAAACGAGCCGTTCGTTACTAAAGGTAAAAGGAATAAAAAAACACCATTATTCATGTGGAAACGATGTTCACATATGTGAATGGCTGAAGTATTTATCTCTGGGAAGGAATTTCCCAGATTTTTGTATTATTTTGCACGATATAAAAATATAAAAATAATTGGAGGGTGATAGAGTAACTTCAACCTTGGATTCGGATTCAGCACATCAAAATACATAATATAGATATGCTTCTGCAGTAACTTCCATTCTCTTTTTACAATGCTATACCTCCCTAGAGTGGGATATAATGCTGATTCCTCCAAAGCGAGATTTTCGGTACTTTCTGTATTTAAGAGCGGTTTTTTTGCGATTAAAAAAATGGAGAGTGATAGAGCAATGCTGCCTTGGATTCAAATTCAGCGCGTCAAAATATAAAAGAATAGGACTAGTTTTCGGAAACAACCACTTTTCCTTTTTGTGTGCCTGTGAATTTTCCATATTTTCTGTGTTTAACGGCGGTTTTTCGCGATTAAAA